AGTTCAGCTGAGGGTTCTTTAGAGCCGGGATTGGTCTTTAAGGTCTGGGTCTGCAGCCGGGGGCCAGCTCCGCTCCACGGCGCCCGCCCACCGCGTGGGCGTTCAGGGTGACCAAGGAAGCCACGCCAGTACTTGGCCAGAAAACCTACACCTGCACCACGCCCACTCACGCGCTTTGTCACACTCGGAACCTGGGGGAAAGGATCAAACGGGTGGTGCAGAGCCACGAACAAGAAGGCTCTGGAACCCATTTAAATGGGTAAACCAGAATTGCTCTGGGAGAGGTGTTGCTATCCATTTCGAGAATTTCAGGAGGAAGAAATGAATCAAACAAATGAGTCTGTACTTGAAAGCAAATTATTTAAAAGCCGAGAAATTAAAAAATAAAACAGATTTGAAGAGCCTTTGTGCCACAGTATATCTGGCCTCTCTGGTCAGGCCACATCTACGCACTAGGTCACAGGTGTCATGTGAGAGGCTGGGAGAAGTCTAAGGAACCAGTTTTTTCCCAACCCTTTTTGCTCTCCTGGGCCAAGTCTGGACTGGGCTGTGGGCCATTCCCTGGGCTTGCCACCAGGACTGCTCTCACTAACTGACAGGGGAAATATGGCTTGGGGGATTTTGAGTTCAGTGTGAGATTTAGGAAACACCTGATTTGGGGGAGAATGAGTTTTGGCGGTCATCAGGTATGAGGCAATAAGGTTGGAGGTGGGAAGACAATGGTTTGGGAAGATTACGTTTGGAGGTAAATTTTGGAGGGAACCAGGTTCAGGGAGACAGTTGTGGGCAAGTGTGTAGGCTCCCAGGAATCTGCTAGTAAATTCCTATATCCCTAAAAGGGCCCAGGAGGCCATGCTGCAGATCCACTGAGTGGTGCTTCCTGTCCTGGGAGGAGGGAGAATCTGCAGTGGCTGAGGACCACCATGGAGTGAGGACCAGGAAGCCCTTGGCATTTTTCTTTTTAAGTGGATTTTTCTTGATTATAAAAGCATACAAGCTCATTGTAGAGAATTTGTAAAACAGATATGAGCATAGGAAAGAAATATACCCACTGTTACCATTTTGGTGTTTTCCTTTTCTTCAACATACTGGTTTACATATCTGAGATCATACTTGATATGTAATTTTGTATCCTGTTTGATCTGATATTACATCATAAGTATACCCCTGTGCTATTATAAATTCTTCCTGAAGATTACTTTCAATCATTACATAGTATTTCATGATATAGATAGTGCACAATTAGCTATTTTCTTTTTGTTAGACATATGTGTTTCAAAATTCTGCTATTATAAATGACACCACAAGGAATATGTTAGAGAATATATATATATATATTTTTTGAGAGGGCATCTCTCATATTTATTGATCAAATGGTTGTTAACAACAATAAAATTCTGTATAGGGGGGGTCAATGCTCAATGCACAATCATTAATCCATCTCAATCCTAATTCTCATCAGTCTCCAATCTTCTGAAGCAT